GGGGTCTAATCTGATAAATCCATTCTAACAGGCCAATTTCCCTATGCCTCTGGATACCTTCTTCTACATTATACCAGGCAGGTCTGGTACTTCAGCTTGACTTAAGGTAGGCCACCGCATAATCCATGCCTCAGTAAGCCAACCAAATAAACTATTAGGTCCTTTCCTAACCTCTCGAGCTGAGACATTGAATGAAGAATCTATACTTAGTGGGCCTAAATCAATAAACTCAGACTGATCCAATTTTACATTCCTTGCACCATTATCCCACACCCTCAGTTGCCATTCCCATACATATTCTCCAGGTTTCTGTCTGTACATGTTAGCAAAATCAAGTAGGTCTTTTCAGGTATAACAAACCACCTCCTCATTTACACTTTCTATTTCACCTTTTGGGGCTCCCTTGGACTTGACTTTTGTTATCAGCCTAGCAGCAACAATAGGTGCTTGAGGCAGTTCCTGAGAGCATTCAGGAATGTCTTTCATGGCATCTGCCTCAGACAATAACCCAGCAGGACCGGTTTGGCTAGTCCCATCAAACTGAGGGGGAGGGGATAATGGTTTTACAGTAATCTGTTCAGATGGGAGGGATTCAACAGAATTTACAGGCTCCATATCCTGATCTTCCTGATTATCTGTCCATATGTCCCCATTCCAGGTTTCAGGATCCCATTTTTTTCCAATCAATGCCCTCACTTTAACGTCAGAAACTGTTCTGGATTGGTAATTTAATTGGCATTGTAATTCAGCCACCCTAAGACTCTGGGTTTGGTTTTCAGCAATATCAGCTCTGTTACTAGAAGGTATAAGGCTTTCTTTCAGAGCACAACTGGAAGCACTGAGGTCTTTTATGCGGCACTTAAGCCGAGACTCAGCAGCTCTGAACTCATCTTCCTCTTTCACCACTTTATCCAGTGTAAGTAGGACCAAGCAACCAGCTTCCTTATATTCCTCATTCTGACAAAATTGCAGAAAAGTATAAAATATCCCATCACCCAGAGCGTCACTTCTCACAAGTATTTGATCTAGTGGTGGTGCTATTTTGTGTATTAATTTTGCCACCTCACACCACGAATTAGCAGGGCCCTCTTTACTAACAGACTCAGGGTTGCTAGTGTCTTTAAGATTAATCAAACTGGAGAACCAATCTAGGAAGCCCATCCTTATGATTTTGTCTCTCTAGAACCACTCCCAGTATCAAATGTGTTAAACTAGGTTCTCTAGAGAAACAAAAACCAGCAAAGCTTATATATATATATATATATATATATATATATATATATATATATAGAGAGAGAGAGAGAGAGAGAGAGAGAGAGAGAGAGAGACAGAGAGAGACAGAGAGAGAGAGAGGGAAATTTATCTTAGGAAAATGGCTCACACAACGTATAGAAGCCGGCAAGTCCAAAGTTCCTGGATCAAACTTCAAGTTGGAGGCTTTTCCTGGCTCCCACAATCTCAGGGGCTGAGGAGCTCAAGGATGGCAGGCAGTACACCAGCTGTTGACTCCAACGAATGATGAATCCAAGATCTCCAGGCCAAATGGTGAACTGCTCACTCAGACACAATTGTAGGCAGCACAACAGAATTCCGATCCACAGAAGAATGTCTCTTTTCCCAGGATGTCCCTGGATATACTGGAAGCAAGCCACACCCCTAGGGAAACTCCCCTTCAACAGACTGGCCACTCAGAACACAGTCATCCAATCCCATCATGGGCACAACCACACAGAACTGGGGTCCAGCCAAGTTGACACACAGCTCCAACTATTACACTCCTCAACATATTAAAGGCAAACTATGGAAAACTAACAGCCAACATATTCTCAATGTAGAGTAACTGAAAGCATTCTCCTTGAGAATGGGAACTAGACAAGAATGCCCTCTATCACTACTTCTATTCACACTGTATTGGAAGTCCCAGCCAAGAAAGTCCTAAGCAAGAGAAATAAAAGGCATCCAAATTATCCATGAAGAAGTAAACTATCTCTATTTGCAGATGATGTTATCCTATATATAGAAAACCCAAGAGACTCAGCAAGAAAACTACAGAACCTAGAAAGATTCAGCAATATGGCAGGACACAAGATCAACATACAAAAATCAGTTGGATTCCTCTACATAAATAAAGAGACCTCTGAAAAGGAAATAAAGAAAACAATGTCAATTATAACAGCTACCAAAAAAATAAAAATACTTAAGAATAAATCTGATCAGGGACACAAAAGACATATACAAAAAAAAACTACAAAACACTATTATAAGAAACTATTAGAGATCTATTTAAATGGAAAAACATACCATGTTCATGGAATGGAAGACTGAACATTGTGAAAATGTCAATAATACTCAAAGCAATCTATAGATTCAATGCAATCCTAGTCCAGGTTCCATCAACATTCTTTAAGGACCTGGGAAAATCAATCAGTAACTTTATATGGAAAAGAAAGAGCCCTCAGATAAGCAAAGCACTACTGAAGAAGAACAAAGTAGGAGGTCTCACACTTCCCAAGCTCAAATTGGCCTAACAAAGTACCTAAATCATTGTTGTACATCCTACTGTGCTCAGCTTCGGAGTAGCTATCTAAGATGCAACACTTGGTCTCTCTGCATCCAGACCAAAGAGTGAAGAAAATCAAAGATATATGGAAATAATTACTCCAAGGGACTCGTGGGCCATGGGAACGTTAGCCTAAAGACCATGAGACCAGAATTAGACGGTTCCTTGATACTACTGCCAACCACTCTGAAAGAGATCAAAACTGAAGATCCTTGATAGAGTGGGATAAAAATGCAGGACAAAACTCAAAATCATAAAAACAACCAGGCTTACTGGTCTGATAGAGACTGGTGAAACCCCTGAGACTACGTCCCCCAGACAGTCACCCTTTGGGCCTGGAAGTGAACTCACTCCCATGGCTTAACCTTTAGCCAAGACAGGTCTATGAGGTAAACAGTTACACTAGGGAGGTGTACTCCTTAGAATCAACCATAGGCAATCAGAAAGGTAGCATGTGTGCAGGGAAAAAGCTCAGAAGGCAGGAATGCATACGAAAGAACACAAGTAAAAGGTTAGCAAAGGGAGTAAGGGGGAAGAGAGCTGTTACATTGTGGGGATTGAAATCAATGTCATGAAACAAAATGTGTATGCACTGTTGAATGGAAAACAAATTTGCTTTGTAAACTGTCATCAGATCACAGTAACTTTTTTGAAGTTGTCAAAGACTTCACATTACTTAGTTTCACAGTCAACACCAATGGAAGCAGCAGTCAAGACATCAGAGGATGTATCGCATTGGGAAAATCTCCAAAAGACCTCTTTTGCAAAGATGTCTCCTTGAAGATTAAGGTGCCCCTAACCCAAGCCATGCTATTTTCAATCACCTCATATGCATGTGAAAGCTGGAAAATGAATAAAGAAGACCAAAGAGTTGATGTTTTTGAGTTGTGGTATTGGAGAAGACTACTAAAAGTACTGTGGAGTGCCACAAGAAGTAACAAATCTGTCCTGGAAGAAGTGCATCCAGAATGCTCCTTGGAGGTGAGAATGGCCAGACTTCATCTCACCTACTTTGGCCATCTTATCAGATGGGACCATTCCCTGGAGAAGTATATTATGCTTGGTAAAGTGAAGGGTCAACAAAAAAGGGGAAGACCCTCAACAAGATGGACTGACACAGAGGCTGCAACAATGCGCTCAGGTATAGCAAGGATTGTGAGGCTGGCATAGGACTGGGCAGTGTTTCGTTCTGTTGTACACAGGGTTGCTATGAGTCAGAGATGACTCGACAGCACCTAACAACAACATCAAGAAACAAATTCAGACAAGTTAAATAATTTGTCTAAGTTTACATTATGTAGGAATCGTAAAGTTGGTTTAACTGCCAAACTCATGTTCTTTTTCTCTCATTGCCCTACAAGAAAAGTAAACTACATACCTTACTTTAGTTAGAAAAGTATTATTGTCTGTGTACAGGAGTGAGGTTGTGCTAACATAAGCCTGTATAAAAGATCCCTGCCAGGCACAGCATAAAAGAGAAGTGAAATGTATAAACACAGCAGGTAATTCTTTAAAAGTCAGGACCAATTAATCATGTAAGGCAGTTCTTATTAGGTGACATTTAAAAATACATGATTAGAATTAAGTTTCAGGCCATACAAAGTTCACCAAAACAATTTTTATTTCCAGTGTTTAATTGGGTATGCACACAGGCATGACACAGGTTTGGATTCATTAAGTCCTCATGCAGAATTATATTCTTCTCAATAAAGAAGCCAGTTCCATCCAGGATCCACTATCTACACACCTATGTTACAACATTTATATCAAATCTGGTATCTGAAGAAAAGATACACATATAATATGTTCATTTAAGTTACGTATTTTACAGAAAGATTAAAAATTCAAGTCACACAAAACTCAAAAACTGTATTAAAATTTTGAATATAAAACTCACAGATCCACCTGGAATGACTAAAGAATGGAAGTTCTGTATCCACCTGTGTTAAAACTGGTAAATGTAATGAAATCTGTTATCAATAAAACGCATTCTAATTTAACAATATGGCACCCTAAAAACCAAATGTATTTTTTATGATGAGGCACTTTTGTTAGTGATGAAACCAAAAGAACAAATTTGCTGCACACTAATGCCAGCTATTTTCTTTAGTAATCTTGGGTATACACTATGTAGTAAGTTGCAACAAATACCTTGTTCATTTGTATACAACTATCCAATATATTTTTAAATATACATACATACATACATATATATATATATATATATACATATATATATATATATATATGTATATGTATATGTATATGTATGTTGTTCTGGCTGTAGTAATGCACTGTAAAGCTATTTCACAGTGCAGAAAGATGAAACCAGCCCAAATGAAGGCTGCATAATAACAATTCTGGTACAAGAAAATATTTACAGAGTTACTAGAACATGTAACAATAACTTTTTATTTGCTATAGCTGACATACCCCCAGCTTAAAGACAGGGATGAAACTGTGCTTTATTGCCTGGGGTTTCAGACAGTTTATGAGGCTGGGCATTAGCTGCAGAACTGGCATTTTGGCTCATGTTCTGGTAGCTTTCTCCATTTATTTGGTCAGGTGACTGTGGTGGTATGGAAAGAAGGGGCCTGTCAGTTGAAGCCAAGGTACTGGAAGAACTGTCATCATTGGACTGACGAGACAATGGTGTATCTGTCACAGGTACTTCTAATATGCTCACATTCTCGAGTTGGGGCTCTCCGGTTTCTCCTCTGCTGAGGTCAGATGTACTGGGGCGTAAGCGTTCCCTTGCAAGCCAGTCTGAGATCGAGAGGTCCTGGGCTGAGCATTTTGGCTTTAACCGATTCACAGCTGAAAGTTCAGGTTCTTTCTCCCCACTCTGCTCATGCACTTTCCAAAAATTCAAAACACTTATTTCGGTAGCATCTCTATGTCCTCCTAGTGTGTGTCTACGTTTGATGTTTTTCCTTTTGGCAGTTTCACTGCTTGTTTTTTGATTTCCTACTCCAAACATATCATCTGCAGGTGCTTTGGGTCGCAGTTTTAATCGATCTGCTATTTTTGTTTTCCAAGTGTGTTCCTGCTTTTCTGACTCACTTCTGGTTGGTGTTAGCAAACTCCCAGTTGATTTTCCTTTTTTCATAACATCAAACACTTTTGTTATTGAAGGTGTTTCTTTCTCATTCTTGGCGTCTCCTAGACTTCCACTGTCTGACTTGAATCTAGAGGACTTTTTTCTAGAAAGTGTATCACATTCAATAAGTTTATGTGAACTGAAGAGTTGTCTTCGGCTGTCTAAACTTGGTGTTAAACTTCCCTCAGTACAACTTACTTCACTTCCTTCAGAATTTCTCCGGCTTGTCTTAGGAACTTCTTGTACTTTCCCTCGGAAAAGCCTCTCTGATGTCAAAGCTGTGGGAAAAACAGGGAAATCATTCTCACTGTCTGTCTCCACAGGCCGCCCTTCACTGATCAGTTCACTTCTCTCGTCATCAGCTTCATCTCCCTTACTTTCTGCAACTGATTGCACCTCTGGGCTTAGCCGACTGGAGTCAAGGCTGGTCAAGTATGTGGCAGATGAAGTTGTTGAGTAGTCTGAGGTGATGGTGCTGACATTGGCCAAAAATTCATTGTGTTTAGTTTCTGGACTGGCTGATTTCTTGGTGGCGAACCTTGCCAGAGAAGCCTGGGAAGAAGTACTGAGCAAAGTGCCAGAGTCAGACCCCATTTCTTCAAAGTGGGAGGACTTTTGCGTCAAAAGTGATTTGGGGCTCTCTTTCAGTACGGTGAAATGGCAGCTAAGAGTTGGTGACTTGCTGTGTTTTGAATTTTGTGGTGGTGAGGGTTCTTCAGATGGTATACTGTCTCTTCGTAGTGCTATCTTTTCGTCTTTTGTTGCACCAGTGTCTTTTTTAGCATTGTTTTCTTTTGAAATGATGATCCTTTGTTTTCTGCCCAATGTCTCACTCTCTTTTTTGGACTCTTCTTTAATGTCATTGTGACATTGTTCTGCATTTTCTTTCTTAAAGAATACATTGTCCAATTCATCTTCTGAGCTGCTAGGTTGCGCTTTTTCTTTGGGTTTTTTCCTCTTGCGACTAGCGGCTGCAAAGATGGAGGATACAAGCAGTTCTCTGCTATACTGATCCTTTCCAGATCCCCAAGAACCCTGGAAGCAATCAGAGAAATGAGACTTTGAAAACAGGTACATTAAAATTAAAACCAAAGCCACTGGCCAAGTTGATTCAGACTCATAGTGAACCATTAGGACGGAGTAGAACTGCCCCATAGGGTTTCTGAAGCTGCAATCTTTACAGAAGCAGACTGCCACATCTTTCTCCCATGGAGTGGCTAGTAGGTTTGAACTGCTGAACTTTTGGTTAGCAGCTGAGCACTTAACCACTGTGCCACCAGGGCTCCATCACACGAACATTGAGTTTATTTTCTGAACTTCTTCCCAAAATATTTCTTACTGAATTGATTCTACTAAAGCTCCAAGAACATTAATAGAGAGTGATCAATTCTTTTAATCCCTCCTGATAACATGTAAGTAGCTCTGGTGGTGTAGTCATTAAAGCATTTGGCTGATAACCAAACATTATGGGAGAAAGATGAAGCAGTCTGCTTCTGTAAAGATTCAGCCTTAGAAACCTTATGTTAACCCAGTTATACTCTGTTCTAAAGTATAGTTTGGATTGGATAACTCATATCTTACATTATTATTGTGACAAGTGAGCAGTTTTTTTTTTTATTATTATTATTATCACCAATATTAGCAGATTTGGTTACGTGTTTACTTTTGACTTATCTCTAGCTATCTAACAGTGTTCCCTTCCCCTCCCCTCCCACCCCCGGTAACCAACAAAGATACATTATTTTTATGTTTATAATTTATTGTGGACTGAAAAACACATAAGTTAAAGAATACAATGTAAAACATAATCCTAACAGGTTAGAGAACATGATGGATGCATTCTATAATTCTATTTAACCATCAAAAAAATTAATCATAAATAGTAAAGTTGGTCAAGATATTCACTGTTGAACCAAACCAAACTCACTGCCATCAAGTCAGATCCGCCTCATAGAGATTCCTCCTTCGGTTTCTGAGGCAGTATCTTTATGGAAGTAGATTGCCCAACCTTCCTTCCGAGGAGTGCCTGATATGTTTGAACTGCCAGCCTTCTGGTTAGCAGTCAAATGCCTTAGGCACTAATAATAGTCTGGGAATTTTCTCTCAATTGTCAGAGAATTAACAAGACCAATAGCAATACTTAAAATATTTGCATTTAACTACATGTTGACATTAAAAGGTAATTTTGTGTATTTCATGTAATCCTTGAAAACACCTTCTTAAGGACAACGTAGGTGGACTCACACTTCCAGACTCAAAATATACTATAAAGCAACACTAATCAAAACAGTCTGATACTGGTACAAGAATAGACATGGAGACCAATGGAAAAGAACTGAGAGCCCAGAAAGAAATTCATAAAACTAAGGTCAACTGACTTTAGAGAAGAGTCTCAAATCCATTCACTGAGGAAAGAATAGTGAGTGAGTGAGAAGTACCAAAAAAGAAAATAGCGGCCTCTATTTCACTATCTTTAACATACTGATTATTATATTTATTTTCTTATCCCCCATGAGATGAAGGACTTGCTAAGACACATTTTTACTTAATTTGTCTAATTTCTTGCCTGGTGGTAATTTACTTGCCAAGTCACAGCCCAAACATATCTGTCTTTTAGGAAAATGTTTTGTGCTTAAAGAGTTAAACAATAATCTGACAAAGTTGAGTTTAATATTGTGACATAAGTTACTAAATTTTATGACTGACTTCAATGTTTTAATTACAGATACAAATACTATGTCAGATAAGCTCATTAAAATAAGAGAGCGCTTTGGTCTTCCATTAGTTCTGCCAGGCTGGACCTTTAGGCACTTGCCTTAGGTAAATCAGGTTGGTACTGTCTTCATTCATCTCAAAGTAACAAAAGAATTAGAATATTCAAGTAGCAGGAAGTCAATGAAAGAATTTGCAGTCCTTACCACAGAAATACTTTAGTGTACTCTTCTTGGTAAAGTTATCATGCAGGCTTCTTATTTTGTTTGCTAAGTATAATAGGTTCTTGACTACTATTATTTAATTAATTTGTTCATAATGTCTGTATGTTAAGCAAACAGTTGGGGGTGCGTGTCAATAAACACTTGCTGATCACAGACCATTTAAGGTAAGCAGGGAGGCAGGAAGGATGATGAATATTAGAAGTGTGGAATTAAAATTTAATGTTTCAACATGTCAAAGAGAGGCCACCATTAAGACCAGTAAAAAGGCGGGCCCCAGTTCCTGGAAAATTACATCAGTCGTCCACACTCCCGCCAGAAAACCAAAGTATGAACCCACCAATGACCTGTAAAGCTATGTTAAAATAACCAATCACTTGTATTTTGTATTCGCGCCGAAATATAAACTGGCCTATCACTGGAATTCCCTTTGTCCACCCCTGTCCCCTAACCAATCCCTGATACCCTCACCACCCTCTCGTTCCTCCGCCCTCTCCGAATATTTCTTTAAATAGTATGTGTGTTGGAAGCTGGGGGCTCAACTCCTCTGCCCCTGCGTGGGATATGAGTCGGGCCCCAGCACGCTGGTATCTCGAATAAACTCCTCCTGCTTTTGCATCAAGAGACGTCTTTCGTGAGTGATTTTGGGTGGCGTTATCCCTTGGGTTGGGGGAGCCCTGGTGAAGGGGAACCCAACAGAAGCAGAAGATATACTTCTCTACTGATGTAAAAATCTTAGGCAAGCTATATGATTATGCTGAAGTCTTGAAAAATAAGAGTCAAAATTTAGACTGAGTTGTATTAAAAAGGATCTGTTAAAATGAAAATACGAATTAATAGGACTTTGTTTTTATAAGTTAGAAAAGATTTCAAAATTATATAGCACAATCCTAAGGTGTATTCACATTTTACCACATTCCGCTGAAGACTGTAGGGGATAATGTTTGTGACAGACTCTGAGTAAGACCAGGCAATCCTTCCCCTTGTTTTCTGTGTATGACGCTGAGCAAAGGTTTCACTTTGAACATCTCAATTTCACTGTTTATCTAAGGGAAGCGATTAGATTATATTACCTATAAGATTTCCTTGAAAATTCTGTGATTCAGTGATACATATGTTGCCACAAATTACTTTTTTTACATTTGAGAAACCATTACAAACAGTTATACCATTTGAGTATTCATTATATGCCATGCCTGGCACAGTTACAGAATTAAGATGAAGAGACTAATGTTAAAATAGATTAAGGAAAATGCGTCTAGTGAGAGGTAAAGCAAGGATTTCAAACACGTCTGTCTGATTTACAATCTTATTTTCTGGTAACAAGTGCTGGGAAATTGTCTAGATTGAGGAAATTGAAAGAGACATGACAACTAAATGCAAAGAGTAATCACTGGTTGGATCTTACTTGGGAGTATAAAAAACAAAGAATATTATTGGGACAATTGGGGACATTTCTATAAAGATTACACATTCAAAAATACTATATTCACGTTAAAGTTCCTAAGTACAAAGATACTATGATTCTACAGGAGAATTGCCTTTGTTCTCAGGAGATTCATGATGAAGTATTTAGGGGTAAAATGTTTTAATGTCTACAAGTTACTCTCAAATGGTATAAGCATATATCAAAATTTGCCAACTGATGAATGTGGAAAAGGGCTTGGATACTAACCGTATTATTTGAGCAATTTTTCTATAGGTTTAAAATTTTTCAAAATAAGTTTAAGAAAAAAAAAGGTCAAAATCATAAGATAAGTGATAATGAATTACATCATAAAATTAACAATTTTTAAAAGATGTTTTCAACAATTATAATTTAATCATGTATAGCACTATTACAGTATTTGAACATTTATGAAATCTATGTCTCAATTCCAAATATAAACATAGTTTTAAGAAATTTATTGGTAGTTCTAGTTGCTACTGGTTCAGCAGAGCAGTTTGGACAAACTGAATTAATAAAAAATTTTCCAAGAGCTTTCTAAAAATTGCCCACAATCTTGTCTAATTTGGTGTTGCTATCAATGGAATACAAAATATGTAAAATATTGATTTTTGAAAAAAGTTGGTGAGTTTTCTTTAATTGAAGTAAGAACATATATATATATTCAGTTTTTTTTTTTTATTTTTATTGTAATTTGGGTGAAAGTTTACAGAGCTATTTCATTTTCCATAAAGTCCACATACACTTCATCTCATGACATTGACTGCAATTTCCCACAATGCAATAGCTCTCTTCCCACTTCCTCTCCACAGTTACTGTTTCCCTGTGTCCTTCCTCTCATGCACTCTTGCCCCCTGAGCTGTCTCCCTGTGCATACACAGCTCTTCTATTCTCCCATGATTGATCTCTCCAAGGAGTGTATCTACCTGATGTAATGTTCAGCCCATATGCTGGTCTTTTATTTGGCTGATAGTCACAGGAGTGAGTTTAATTCCAGACCTGAAGGGTAGCTAGGGGTCATAGTCTCAGGGGTTTCACTAGGCTCTATCAGACCAGCAAGCCCCCCCGCCTTTTTTTTAAAATAATTTTGAGTTTTGTTCCACATTAAGAACATATTTTTATATAAAGTGAGTAATAATAACAAAATGTCTATACTAGTACTGAAATATTTACAGAAGGAATATAATGTTTGGGATTTGCTTTGAAGTTGTTGCAGGAGGAGGAAGGTGGGTGGGGGATACAGGTGAAAGAGGTCTGTCTGGCCATGTGCTGTGTCAAGGAGAAGTTCAGGAAGCCTTCTGACTGGAACCAAATGCTTAAATTAAACTCAGTTTTGCTGAATTAAACTGGTCTCTTTACATGCTTGGCTGAGACTCCATGTTTGCCTAGTTGACCTTCCACAGGCACATGGTAACTGAGAAGCGTTTTCTCTTGGTGGTCAAATATCAAAGATACACTCTAAGAAGGGAATCTTGACACAGCTGTCTTCTTTTGTATAAAGTAGGCCTAAGAAATATTTCTTTATGGCAAGGATGTAATAAAGAGAATTTATTTTGAAAGGATTTTGGAGCCAGTCTTATCAAAGTTTCCCAGACAACCAAAAGTTTTCACTTGGACAAACAGTTTCTAAAGAAAGAGCCTTAGCATCATTCTTATTACCAGCTCTGGCCCCCAGAAATGTTTTACATCATCCTAGACATTTTTATAACCTGTTCTGCAAAGTACACATTCTGCGCATCCTGGGACTGTAATTGTAAATCTTTGTAACCACCTAAGCATTTGTGTCCAATAAAAGCCTTTCCTCACATCTTTAACTCTCCCTTTTCTGATCTCAATCAAAACTAACCAATTAATGATTTTGTTGCAATTCCTTTGTTTCTTGGCCTATATCCATCCCTACTTGGGATCCACTCTCTGAAATCACCATATTTTCACTTATGCTCAATAACACCTCTGAATTTTCATTTAAAGCTTGAGTACCTTTTTTCTCCGATGACAGGTGATAATTGCTGAAGATATATGATGGGTATATCCCGCTATTGCTAGTTTGATTCTGACTCATAACCACCCTACAGGATAGAGTAGGATTTCCTCCAGGGTTTCCAATGCTATGATTTTGGCAGAAGCAGACTGCTACATCTTTCTCCTGCAGAGCAGCTGGTAGGTTTGAACCACTGACCTTTTAGTTACTAGTTGAGGCCTTAACCACTATGCCACTAGGGCTCCTGAATGGGTACACTGGGGCTCATTATACTTTTTTCTCTACTTCTGTATATGTTAGAAATATTGCATATTAAAACATGATGGAAAAACTGTAATACAGTATTATAAATTACACTAAGAGAAATCTAGTATTTCAACTCATTATCCAGCATTCTTCTATCATATTCTATTTTAAGAACTAATTTTTCCCCTCATTAGATTTTGCTGCTCTGTCTCATCAGACACAGGGTACATCTGCACTCTAGTCATAACGATCAGCCAAAAGGCAACACCCACTCCAAAACCTTTCAAAAGTGTACAAAAAAGTTTACCTTAGATTTTGTTGAGTCACTAGTAGCTGAATCTGTGAGAAGTTAAATAAAACATGGTCAGTATTAGTCCATCTTTACTGCTTTCAACAAACAATGCAAAACTTATGGAAAAGACAGGCACAGAACAAAATGTAAAAGCAAAACTCAAACAAAACCATAGAACACAGTGGATAGTCAGAGCTCACAAAGATGCAAGCTGCACCACAGAAAGCCACCGCCATGAAAGGATGCTGTGAATTGTAGGCAGAACCAGCTCAATGATAGGAATGGCAAAGGAGCCCTGTACTAAACAGAAACAGAAATACTAGTGTTTATTAAATTTTCTAAATATTTAATCTAGCAATAAAGAAGCTTGAAGACCTTTTCAGAATTGTACTATGTACCACATCCTGTATCTGAAGCTGATACACAATGTAGAACTTGTAACATTGTTGGCTGCCTTAGCTACAAATTGAGACACTCGGTGTATTTATGTTTATTTTTGTCAGACTGTTAAACTTAGTTCCTCAAATTTTATAGCATAAGCTATATGCGTATGGGTGCAAAAGAGGCATTAGGATAACCCTGCTTCCAGGTCACTCTGATTTGATATTAAGTGATGCCGATCTGTTGTGCATTAGACCCCACTTTCACATCAGTGTGGTCAGGGATCCTTTTGGCTAGTTTGGTTAAACTGCTACCAGTTTTGTAATTATCTATTAACAAATGCTATTATGAAAATGGAAAAAATGGAGACCATATTTTACTGTCTGGCAAAAACTCAGATTATACAATTATAAAGAGGGTAGGAAGGGGCTAGCACTATTTAGGATAAGATCAATTTTGAAATTTTATCTTTCAACTTTAGGGAAATTGATTTTCAAGATTAATGAGCTGAGCCCCATGCCACGCCCCTTTTTGACACATGGCTAAAATGCTTTATGACTTTAAGAACTGGTAGACCATACCATGCTATTTCTCCTCAGGGTCTGCTTCAGAAATAACAAGAAACAGCAGAGAAACTTTTAAGAAAGTAGTATTGATCTGTTTACAATAATCTTAAGAGAAAATTTACACCACAGATCAACTATGTTTGCATTTACAAGAATCGGGGGTTTCTGCAGACAAGGCAGCTACAGTGTGGGCAACAATCCTCCTTCTTCCTACAGTTCCAGCTGTCCATCAGGGACATCACAGAATCCACTAGTGACATTACCGTGTGATAGACTCCTCCCACTTCGCCTGTTTCAACATCAGTATAGATTTGCCTGTGTCAGTAAGTGCTGAAAAAACCCTTTAGGACTAAAACAAGAACTAGAGACAAAGGGAGAACATTGTATAAAACAACATGCTAGATTAGTGCAACAGTTTGGCAGGAGAAAAGTTTCATCAAAAGCGTCTATAAAAACTAATACTTAACCAGACATTAGGGTGGCAATTGAAAACAGAAGAAAATAAATGTTTCATAGGATGATTTTCACCATGACATCTATAGTGGCGGATAATATACTGTATTTGAGAAAATGATGCTCATTAGCAGGTCAACATATAAATAACTTGCTGCTTTTAAAACAGAACTTCTAGCTTAAGAATTAAAAGTATTTATATAGTCTAGATCATACTTTCTGCCATCACAGCAACCACATATTCAGTAGCATATCTCTGTTTTACCTTGTGATGACTATTACATGGAAACTGTGAATTAAAAAAAAAAAAAGAACAAAACAGTGGTTTGCATGCTCATTTCCCTCATATTTCCATTTTGACAAGCATTACAACTCCATGCACTGTCAATGGCATTATAGTCACTGGAAGATAGTAAGATCAATCAGAAAAGGAAGATTAAGTTTTTTTTATTAGTAGAAAGAAAGAGGAAAAAAAAAAAGGAAGAGAAAGAAAAAAATCATAGTGAATTGTTACTTAGGATTGATACAGTTTTTCATGTAATAAGAATTTAGCTTTTAACCTAGATATCAGTGCTGCCCAGGCAAGAGTTACCTGATACATCTCCCGGGGAGACGCCTGTCCTTCCAATGTTGGTGAGTAAATGATCTATGTTTGGCACTGGCTGGGAGTCTACTGTGCTTTCCTCCTGCACTGTTGTCTATGGTTAATAAACAAAGATCTCTTCATCATCTCTTCAAAGATATTTTCTTAAAAATTCAAACAACATTTAGTAAAAGACACATTACTGAGTAGAGCACACGTTCTTAAATTTTCCCTTTACGTTGTTTATAATTAACTGGAGGATAAGCATCATACTTGTATTTTCATTAGGTCAGAAACTGAGGAGCTATAGACCTGCTTCCGGGGTGGCAAAGCAGACAAAAGCATACAAAGCAGGAAGTTGACATTGTTGTAGCACCAGGATCTTGTGTCCCAAATGAAAATAACAGAGTACAAATGCTGACGGACAATACTTACAAGAGGTTCTTCGGCACCTTCTTCTGTGAAAAACCAGTCATGCTAAAATTTAAAATAAAAAAAGTGAAAAGAGAAATTAAATAACCTCCTAAATAAATCTACATCTTGGAGGATGGTATAGAAAAAAGAGAATTTTTCTTTTTTTTTAGGGAAAAAAAGTAATTATAATCAAATTGTGTCCTACCAAACAAATATCAGCTGCTCATTAAAATGAATTTTCTTAGAGATGGACCATAAACTTACGTGTTGGATAAGTGTTTCTACAATTTTATACTGGTCAGGCATATGAGTAACCATGTGTGTCATATTGTCTTCTGATGTCCTCACAAGAGTTGGACCAAATACGATTGCTAGATTTCTTGGTTCCATCTGAAACAAAGAATAATAGTGGAAAATATCAGATCTTTTCCTAAGAAAATAGGCTTAAATTCCTGTTACATTGGCATTTCTAAAAGGTTCTTCTGGTGAAAAAGAATACAAAGAATCGCTGGCTGATGTGGGTAAAAACTATACTTCCTAGTTAGGAAATCTTTTCCATGAGCAATCTATATGGAACTTATTTTTCCTGTTTTACTGACAATATGCATGCTTAATTGACATTCTCTCCCTACCACAAGAAGTTTTTGAAAGCACTTTCATTCAAAACCAGTATTATCAGAGCTAGGCTGGCTGACAACAATTTTAAAATCAAAGAGAGGGGAGGAAAAAAACTGACAAAAGATTAGGGAAACTCCTTCTCTTCCAAACCTGAAAAATGAACAAAGTGCTTAAAGATAATATAAAAGTCTTCAAATTTGCCCCAGTGGGACATTAAAATCACTAATATGTAAAAACCCAGTATCTTCAAATATTATTTTTTGATGAATTTTTACTTTAACCAAATCTTCTGAAGCTATTTGCTTAGTCTCCCACCAATCTGAATGCCTGAATAGAATATGTATTTGTACTCATGAAGCACAATAGAAACACCGTATTTTTGGAGTCAAGATCACACACACACACAAAAAAAAACTTAAAACAATTAGTGAAATAGAAATAAACAAACATAATGTTGTATATATCATTGCCAGCCAGTTAGATGTATTTCAGAGCTTTTGTTGATTTATAAACCTATGTTTGATTATTTTTCATGAAGCAATGAAGCACATCTTTTCGACTAAAGCTACTCAAAGTACGTATCTTCAGCATGCACTTTACATACCTTATTTTTTTCTGAATTTTCTGCCACTGTCTTCAGATGAGCCGACAGAAATTTAAGTGTTTCAAAATGATGTTCAGGTAAATCATGAATCTGAAACATATTATTTTCAGGATGCATTTAAGATATTTAAATGATGAATTTTAATCCTACCACCAAAAATATAAAATAATACCTACTAGTCTTTTTAATGTTTTCAGACGGTCTAAAGGATCTTCTTTACGATTAGCTTCAATGAAGTCAGCATATTTATCTGACAACAACAATAAGAACCATAAAACAAAATTATCTTAACTTGCTTAGATGAATTATAATCTAGTTTTCCTTTATGGTTTGATTTCAAGCCACAATTAAAAAAAAAAAAATATATATATATATATATATATATATACATACACACACACACACACACACATAGGGAAGAGCCCAAATCACCTTTGAAGGGTCTCTAAAATTATTACCATTTTTAATAATCCTACAAACCTGATCAACAAATAAAAGAAAATTCCTTGAAATGTGAATTCCCTTATATTCATATAGACTATCCATTCCTTTCTCCCCCTGACCACAATATCTAACAGTGTCTTATATGATTTTTTTTTTTTTTTTTTTTTAGGAGTTCTGGTAGTATAGTGGCTAAGGCACTTGACTGCTAACCAGAAGGCTGGTGGTTCAAACCCACCGCCACTCCTCGGAAGGAAGATGGGGCAATCTACTTCCGTAGTGATACTGCCTCGGAAACCCAAGGAGGGGTTGCTATGAGTTGGGTCCGACTCGACAGTACATAACAACAACAACGTGAATTTTTTTATATATAGAGAGATGCCATATATCACTCAAATATTTACCTTAACTGAAAAAATGTTTTGTCCAGTAATTATACCTTATTATGTCCAAAAATTTAGACTGAGAACAATAACACATTGTTAATTGGACTATAAACATGGATGAACACGAAAGTAAATACTTTACAGATCCTAAACAATGTTTTAAATTGAAAACTTCCATTTAAATATAACAGGAAAAGAAAAAAAAATCCAATGACAAAAAGCACATAATTATGCTTCTACCATGTTAATAAGAACTAAGTAAAATCTTCTGTTGTTCTTGACAAAAATATTTTTTCCTGGTTCAGTTTAATGTTATATGGTTTTCTAGTAGTCATAATTTTCAAATTGTTTCTTTTGGTGTCTCTCATAGGAGTTAACTCACCATTCGTAAAGAGAGGTTCAGGGAGTTTTCTGAAGAATGATTTTAGTAAACTGCTTATCACATTCAAATCACGCCATTTCTAGGTATGCAAAATAGAAATATTATTTTTGGAGTCAATACCACAAAAGGTAAAAACCGGAGCATTATTCAAATAGAAATAAACAAACTTACATCATCTTGTATGTCGATATCAGCCATTCCCTTGTTGAGTTCTTCTTGCATACTTGAGATGGCTGCATTATTTCCAGGGACTCTATAAATACCTGTATATTCAAGACCTCTTTCTTCAACTAATTTGCAACATATGTCAACTATTAATGGAATATACTGCAAAACAAGAAATAAACATTTTATTTAATACAAAATAAGTGTCTATATTTAACTAGTAGTTGCATCATAGCTGAAAGGACCTTTCATTCAAAAGAAAATGTATAGATTGCTGCTATGTGATTTAGAAGAAATAAAGAATAGAGACAGTGTAGAGCTGCAAATAGATAAAATCAGCAAGAGATATTCAAGACAGTGGGATAAGAATAAACAGGCCAAGACAAAAAGAGAAGGGTCTACGGGAGATAATAGTCTAAAAAGGAAATAAAAAACAAATAAGTAGAATGTGGGGAAGTTTGGCTGAATAAAGGGGAATAAAGGAAAAAAAAAAAAAAAAAAGAACAGGGAAGCAAGTAACATCAATCAACTCATGATCTGAATCCTAACATGGGTGTTGTAAACACACACACAACACACGGACATTTACATTTATTATATTTTCTAATCAGGTCCTAGTTTTCATCCTTGTTTTAAGATGCTAAAAGCAGAAACACACATGATTTGAAAATAAGTTCGTGCCCACCGTTTCAGCTATATTTCAAATACATGGCTCATGGTTGAACAACTGCTGTATTTCAGAATCAATACATCAGAAAAAAAGCATTATGGGTAAATTTATGTCACACACTCTTGCAGTTCAGAAATGCTTAGGGAAATCAAGCTATGAAGATGAAAATACTCAACAGGCTAACACTCCCTATTATCTGAAAGGTGATATACTCAGGTCTAATTGTGATTACAACAGAATTAATGATTTCAGGAAATCCAGTGTTGTCCCCTACCCGATTAGTATGTGCTGGGGGGCAGTCATCCAGTCTGACACCAAACGTTCCTGTAGCAGTAGGCTTTTTTTCAAATGTCCTCCTCACAATATTTGGAATGCCTTTTCTCCACGTTCCTTTGTCTTTTGGGGGACTGGTATCATCTTTTGATTTTCATTAAAAATAGAATGACATAATAAAGGAAATGGAAACAAGAGTGTTTAAAGTATGGCTTTAAAAATCCCTTATCAATGTTTACATAAATTGGAGTCCTGTAATACAAATAATATATCCTACATTTATAAAAACTGTTATAGTTTCTTCTTAAGATAGCATTTCTTCTAAACTTCCATATAATTTAATAGGTATCATTTATATTTCTTCACCCTTTCATAATCTGTACTATAATTTTAACAGTCAAGAAAATAAAAATAAACGTGCCATCTTCATAGTGAGATTTTAGCAAAAGGAAATTTTATCTCAAAATGAGAGGACCTGGGTCCTCTGAGTCATTCATCTTTGCAATGTCTTTGATATAGATGTTGTTGTTATTGTTGTTGTTATATGCCGTCGAGTCGGCCCCGACTCATAGCGACCCCTCCTTGGGTTTCCGAGGCAGTATCACTACGGAAGTAGGATTGCCCAACCTTCCTTCCGAAGAGTGGCTGGTGGGTTTGAACCGCCAGCCTTCTGGTTAGCAGTCAAGTGCCTTAGGCACTATGCTACCAGAGCTCCCTGATATAGATGTAGGTGTTGTATTTTCTTTCACTTTGTCTTTCTAACAACAGCTGGTCTCTTGGGCCACACAGGAAAGGTTCAATTAGTCTAAACCAGGCCGGCCTACCATGATCTTTTAAACGGTTTACTCTGAGCCCAGATCAGTAGAAACAGTAGAGAAAATCACTGAAAATCCTTTTAAGATCTCAATTTTCAATCATTTTATTTAAGTTAAACCAAGAAAGCGAGTATCAATACCTTTACTGAGGAGTTTCCTTTCTGACTCTTCCTTTGGAGAGTGTGGGCTTTGAGTCTTTGGCTCTGATTTCGCACCAAGCAGAGTTTGCCTGATGCTGAGACTCTGGCGAGGCGTTTTTGGCAACTGTTCTGCTTTGCTGCTGAAAGAAATAAACATTTCTTAACAATAACCTCTTTTACATTCAAATTAAACTGTAGGCATGGCAGGATTCTCACCTCATCAGACTGTTATATTCTTTTATTCTCCGACTAATGAGATCCCTGTTAGTAACTCCAGTGTCCTACAGAAGGTAAGATTAGAAAGTCAATTCTGAGCATAAACAGTGATCCTTACTTTTTTGAGGCTTTCTATTGTACTGCTTTGCTTATTCAATACAAACACTATACTTTACTCAAAGTGGAACTGTTTAATAACCTCTATTCAACATCATCATGTTACAAATGTCTCCTATTATCAAGAGTATTTTACTTTCTGTACTCCTACGATACCTAAAATAACACCAGCAAATAACTAGTGTTCATACTTATTAATTGGCCTATCATTTTTAATAAAGGACTGGGAAGCAGCAGAAAGTTTTTTTCTCTCAATACCAGAAAGACTGATCAGCATTTAAAAAAAGAAAAAAAAGTAATTAAAAAAAAAAAAATGGATAAAAGGAGAATAATGCCAGGATTTGTTAAGGACTAATTTGTAGGAGCAATGAAATTGAGGGTCAATTAGTATCAGAAGTAGCAGTCAGATCATGAGATGAGAAAACCTCAAACTATTTTAACTTCAATAGGTTAACTTTTATAATATACTATACGGTAACAGGGAGCTCTGGTGGTGTAGTGCTTAAGGCACTTGACTGCTAACCAGAAGGCTGGTGGTTCAAACCTACCTCCTCGGAAGGAAGGTTGGGCAATCTACTTCCATAGTGATACCTCCTCGGAACCCCAAGGAGGGGTTGGGTCTGACTTGATGGCACATAACAACAACAACATATGGTAACAGGGGTTCTGGTGGCATTTAGCTGTTAACCAGAAGGTCAGCAGTTCAAACCCACCAGCTGCTCCACGGGAGGAAGATGAGGCAATCTATTTCCATAAAGATTTACAACCTTGGAAACCCAACAGGGGATGCTGAGTAGGAGTCTACTTGATGGCAGTGGTGTCATTTATTTATTTTTTTTTAGTTTTATATGGTAAACCCAGAAGATAGAGTAATTACACACACACACACACACACACACAAACACAGCTCAAAAAGTCATTGGATAGCACAAATGGTTAAGTGCTCAATGATTAACTGAAAGGTTGGTGGTTTGAACCTACCCAGAGGCTCTTTGGAAGACAGGCCTGGTGATCTGCTTCTGAAAGGTTACAGCCTTGAAAACTATGGAGTCAGTTCTACTCTGAACACATGGGGTCATCAGGAGTCAGAATCAACTCAACAGCAATTAACAAGACAGACCCCAATTATACCTTGGCATGTGTCTATTTTCTTTGTCACTTGTCTCATTTTGATTAAAATGAACAACAAAACGATTTACAAAGAATACTGACTTTAGAGTTGAACAATCTGGAATTCAAATGGACCCTTCCACTTCCCAGCTGAGAGATCTTATGGTTAAGATCTGGAATAAGACTGCCTGGATTCAAATCTTAGCCTTAATACTTATTAACTACATGACCATGGGGAAGTTACTTACTCTCTCTCTGTCTCACAATTTCCTCATTTATAAAATGGTAATGATAATAGTACGTATTTGTAAGACTGCTAAGATCAAGTCATGCAAAGTGCTTAAAATAGTGCCTGTCACATTATATATGCTCAGTGAATATTAGCAGTCATTATTTTCTCATTTATAAAACTGGGAAAAAATATCTGTCTTTTAAGATTAGATGATGATGACAATAATGGCTGACATTAACTAAATGTTTATTATCTGCCAGGCAGCATGCTTCATTCTTTATAAGCATTATCCACTCAACTCTCAAAACAGTTGTATGCTTCACAAATGAAGAAATCAAAGCTTATCAGGGGTAACCAGCCACAAGTGCATAGTTGGTATGTGACAGAGCAATTAAATTTAGGTCTTTCTGAACCCAGAGCAGGAGATTTTAACAATTACACTCTACTGACTAATAGAGTGCTTGGCAAATAGCTGCTTATTAAACAGGAACTCCATTGAACTAATACATACAGCTGAAATCTACATCCAAATTTTTATTCTTCCTGCTTATTTTGCAAAAATTCAGGTTTGGATGGTTTCTTTATAGTGAGCGGTATGAAACAAAGGTTGTATGATAAAGATCTGATGCTAATTTTTAACCAAACAGAGCAGGGTATAAACTACCAGCAAAAGCATTTCTCCTATAGCATAGTTTTCATAATCAAAATTGGATATAATGCAAATGACTAAATTAGAGGCCTTTCATAATTTACATGACATTACAGCTAACACAGGTATTCCTATGTACTGTGAGCAAGGAAAATAAACTTTGTGTTTTTTGTCTTAACAATGGTAAGGTAAGAGGAATATGTGAGACTGGTATGGAAAAAAAAAGTACTCTTGAGCAAAAGCAAGACTTAATCATTGCTGGATTTTCTCAGTGAAGTTTATAGTATGTCCACCTACAAAAACTACCCATACTACCTAAATTCCTGCTAGAAAAATATGCTGGTACTGTTACAAGTCAGAAATTCTCAAGCAGCTCAACATTATTCCTCATTAAAAAAAAAAGTCACACTTGTTTACTGCATGATTTTTGATAATGCAAGTTTTCTTAGAAACCAATTATTATAACCATAGGGTTATCTTATATTCTTCCCTGTATAATTCCATTAACAATAATAATACCAGTATCTCTTTGCATTACATAGTAATTTCTTTTGATAAGCACTTTTTCTTTCTTTTTTTTTTTTATTGTGATTTGGGTGAAGATTTACAGAGCAATTTCACTTTCCATACAGCAGTTCACATACACTTTGTCTCATGACATTAATCAGTTTACCACAATGCAACAGCTCCCCTCCCTCCTCCTCCCCCCAGTTACCTCTTCCCAGTGTCCATCCCTCCATGGGCTCCTGTCCCCTGAGCTGTCTCCCTGTGCATAAGCAGCCCTTCTTTCTCCCATGATTGTTCTCTCCAAGGAGAGTATCTACTTGAGGTAAATGTTCAACTCATATGCCTGTCTTTTGTTTGGCTGGAAACCACAGGTGTGGGTTCAATTCCAGACCTGAAGGGCAGTTAGGGGCCATAGTCTCAATAGTTCCACCAGGCTCTACTGGACCAGCAAACCTGGTCCTCCCCCTTTTTTTTTCCCTTCAAATGATTTTCAGTTTTGTACCACATTGTTCTCCCTCTCTATCAAGGATCTCCTACATAGATCCCCTTCCAAGTGGATGACAGTGGTAGCCGGGCACCATCTAGTTCTTCTGTTGATAAGCACTTTCACTATAACATAAGCCCTACTGCAATTCTGATTTTGAGATAAGAAAATGGAAATGGAAATATTTAGACATAAAGGTAATGGCCAGGACTAGGAACCTAGGTCTTGTCATCTGTGGCTCACTGCTTCTGAGAAGGCATGCAGAGTATATGAGTAACCTATTTTTCTAGTTCAGCAATGGTGATTTTCTAATAACTGGAAATCATATAAAAAATAAGGATATTTGAGTTTTCCTGTTGATCACTGCTATTTTCTAAATGAAAATATAAATATAGCACATCATATATATGTGTATGATATGTATATATATACGTATGTGTGTGTGTGTATATATACATATTTTTTTTTTAACAAAATGATGACTCAGATACTTTGTCTTCTTAAGTAAAATGTTGTGAAAGTATCAGTTTTTATCACCTACATTATTTATTTCTTTATACTTTTTTATTTTAAGAGTTTGTTTTACATTCAACATTACGTGTACATTTATTTCACTCCCCATTTACCATCCTCAACCCTAACCCAGTCTCCTCCCCTCCCTGCCCACTAATGCTGCTGTGCCCCTCATAATTACGCACTCCTATGTGTCCTGCATTTCTTCCATGCGAATGTTGCCCCTCTGGTGCTCTGTGGCACCTATGTTATTTTGAACATATTACCTCTTCATTTAGGTTGCTACTCTCCTGGATAGTCTTGATCCATGCTAACATATCATCTCGGTCTTCAGCCTGAAAGAGGCATTCACAATCCGATGTTGTAAGTCGAAACACATTTTTCCTCTTGGTCTCACTGTAAGAGATGTCTATTAAGCAAGCATTAACACTGATGGGTTGTTCTTCCTCAGATGGAGTTGTTTGTTCTCTTTTGTCTTTGTACAAGTAAAGTGAATGACCCCGAAGTACAACATACATCTGTTTCCATGGCCGAATACTTCCACCAACTCGCTAGAAAATATGAAACAGTTTGTGAATACTTAATACTTGGCTAAATCTTTGTGAGAGGATAAGCACATTAAGCAACACTGTTACCTTGCATAAATGTATACCTCATATAGCAAATGTCTAATTTATGTCAATATATGCTTCTCAGAAGAAGAAAGATGAAAATTGTGGAGAAGAAATGAAATTAGGCAATGCATTCATATCAAAGTCAAGGACAGTGAAAACCTAACCTTAATTTAGCTAGGAGAACAAAACAAAGCAATGAAAATAAGTGTAGTAAAATGCTAATGACCTAGAAAACAAACAGAAATGATTCAAAGTCAGAGAAAACTTTTGAGTGAAAGCAAGGTTAAGACAAGTCAGATACCCTGCAAATGACAAACACTACCTAAGAAGACTCCAAGATAATACATACATATGATGAATTAAGTTAACAAAGTTCATCTACTTATATGGTCAAGTAACGATATCCACACCATGATGGGTTTTCTTTAAAATTTTACACTTTTTAGGTAGTACTAAAATTGTGTTATAATTATCTATTATAGCATGAAAAGTTTTATGATGAAATTTTTATTGCATTGGAATCTACCTAATGAAGTATATATTGATATTATTATATTGATCTATACAACACTGTTTATAAAATATGCAGCTCTGGGGGCAAGGAAGGAAGATGAGGCAATCTCCTTCCATAAAGATTTACCACCTTGGCAACCCAATGGGGGTTGCTATGAGTTCAAATCAGCCTGATGGTAGTGGGTTTTATTTATAAAATAAAATAAAAGTATAAAGGCAATTTAGAAGAATAAACAAAGATTAGTTAAATAACAGTTAAATAAAAATTCTAAAATTATTAACATGGAGAACTGGTATTTCTTAAAGGGCTACTCTGTGATATCTATATAATAAGCTATTTAATAAACATTTGAACACACCACCTTCTTAAATACTTTGATTGCCTTTTACACTGCCAAAATATAACACAATATATTTCATATATAGTTGATATAAAGGATGACAAATACGAAATTAAATCAATGATCAGAATTTTTCAAAAGTAATTTTTCCTTTTATGTAGAAAAATGTATTCATAAATGATTTTTTTCCCCACTCTTTAATTTGGCTATCTTACCATTTTACCTATAACTCACTGCCATTGAGTCAATTCTGACTCATAGCTACCCCTCCTCGGGTTTCTGAGGAGGTGTCTCCTCAGAAGTAGATTGCCCAGGCTTCCTTCCAAGGAGTGGCTAGTAGGTTTGAACCGCCAGCCTTATGGTTAGCAGTCAAATGCCTTAGGGACTATGCCACCTATATCGATTTTATTTTATGCCTTATTTATCAGGTCTGTGTTTCTGATGTTTAGACAGTAGCTGAGAAAATACACTACCTTGCCCTTATCGGTGGCAAGTGGTCGAAAATGGAGCCACCCTTCCTTGACAGCATCACTGAAAACTTCTGAAGAGGAGTCTTTTCTGGATCCAGAGTCTTCTGATGACTTTTGGCTGTCTGTGATCTATAGAAAAGGCCAAAAATGCAGAGTAAAATGTACATGTTTTCCTTTATAAATTATATGTATTTTGAAAATGCTCTGCTGAAAAGTTTTGTACTTAATGTTCCAAGTGAAGGGTGATTTTTGAGAAGTCCTAAAGCTTTATCCATTAGTAATATTTTTGGTGTTCCCGTCCCTCCTCATGTGAACTGACTACCATTATTTAATAAACTAGTCAGAAGCAGTTTTTTAATCACTTAAAAAAAAAAAAAAAACTGGTATAATTTCCCCACTCTAAAGGAGTGGAAATTTTAGTGGGAAAAGATAAATATAACATGAAAATATCCAGATTGTGATTAGTGCCATTCAGAGAATAAAATAGCAAGATGAAATAACAAATGACTGAGTGGCCACTACAAATTAGTGGTACTCAGGCAAAGTCAAGTCTCTTAGAATTTGAAATCTGGAATTAAAAAAAAAAAAAAAAAAGCCAGCTATGAAAGGTCGGGGGTTGAAAAGTTCAGGGAGAATGTATAGCTACCGAATGTATACTTATCATAGTCATGTGAAACGGTTCAACGCACCTGCTGGAAAAACCAAACCAAAAAAACCAAACTCACTGTCATGGAGTTGGATCTGACTCATAGAGACCCCTCCCTGGGTTTCCAAGGCAGTATCACTATGGAAGTAGATTGCCCAACCTTCCTTCCGAGGAGTGGCTGGTGGGTTTGAAGCACCGGCCTAATGATTAGCAGTCAAATACCTTAGGTACTATGCCACCAGAGCTCCCGGGAAAAACAGCTACTTGCAAATTGCTTAGGCCTTTGAGATTATGTAGGAAGTGTAAAGAGAAGCTGTTAATGTTAAAGGGAGTAACATTATCTGATTATATTGTTCAAAGATCACTTTGATTGTCTGTAGAGAATAGACTGTAAAAGGACAAACATGAAAATAAGTGTTACTATGGTAATCTAGCAAGGGATGATGGTGGGTTGGACTACTAGCAAGAGTGAAAGCAGAGAGAAATGTAAAGATACCAGATATATTTTGAAGGTAGAGTGCACAGGATCTGATATTGGAGGAGAGGGGGAAAAAGAAGAAACAAGGTTAATTCCTGGATATGGGGTTTCAGCAACTGGATAGATAGAAGTGGACTTAGTGAGAAATCTACTTGGCCATGTTACCCTCAAGTGTTTATTAAAACTTCAGATGAAGATGTCACATTGGCAGTAGTTTAAACGAACTAAAGTTTGGCCAAGAGGTTAAGACTAACAATATAGACTTTGAGAAACTTCTAGATAACCTATCAAGGGAATCAGCATAGGTAGAAAAGAAAAAGGTGTTGGAACAAGCCCTAGACAGTCCAACATTTAGATCTTAGGCAGAGGGAGAAGAGTCAACAAAGGAGACTAAGAAGAAATCCTAAAGGTGGAAGGAAAACCAGAAAAGAGTGGTAAAAAAGAAGCCTGCAGAACAAAGTGTCTCAGAAAGGGAGTAGAAAATTATGTGGAAAACTACTGAAAGGTCAAATAAATTCAATACAAAAGTAACCATTAATTTTAGCAAGATAGATGTCACTGATAACCTTGGTATGAGCACTGTCAGCCTCATATGTATAGGCTGAGAAGAAAGTGTGATGTGAGGAAATGGAAACTATAGACAGTTTTTTCAAGGGTTTTACTATAAAAAAAGTAGAAGAGAAAATGGGAGTAGTAAATGGAGGGAGATGTGGATTTGAGGAAGAGATTTTTTTTTTTTTAAACATTGGAAATAATAGAACATGGTTATACACATTGGACAGTGAGCCACGAGAAAGAGAGAGATACTGCAGAGGGCAAAGGGGACTAGGAAAAGTGAGAGGGGATTGACTCTGAAGAACAGATGTGGGTGTTGGTTTTTAAAACAGTAACATTCCTAGTAAAACAATATTTAGGATCAGAATAAAGAAGGCAGACAGCATGCATTTAAATGCAGGTGGCTGTTATTTTTGGAGATGGTAAAATAAAGGAGTTTCTATCTAACAGCTTCTATTTCTTTTTTCTGATGAAGTATAACAGAAGAGGAGAAGACAGAGGATAGAGGTGGACTGTGAAGGTGAAAAGGATATGTAATAATAACTTTCGAGGACAGAAAAACAACATCCAACAAAATGCAAGATTATTGGGCAGTCAGATTTTTTGCATTGAGTTGGTAAGGTGAGAAAAATCAGTACAATTATGTGTAAAGTATTATATACTTGAGGAATATGTTTAGAAATTAGAAAATAACATTTTACACATAATATTTTCCAGATGCACCTGCAAGTTATAGAATAAAAGATGATGACATTTAAATATTAAATAGTTAATGGATTAAAAAAAAATCCCTATGAAGAGCTACAAATAGAACTGTAAATAGCTGTAAATAGAAACATTTATCATTTGTTTTATAATTTTAAAATATTGAATACCTACCTTCATTCCCTTCAGGCTAGATACATGCTTAAAGGACCTGTTGGAAAAGAAGTATATAACTGTGATAAATGCATAAAATACTTTAAAGATGTAAGGATATTTGAATGTTAAAACTAACCTTTCATTAATCATCATTATTTTGTTAAATGTTCATTGTTCAAGGTAAGTGAGGGAAAACCACCAATTTTATAACTATTTAAATTTCTGAATCAATGAAGCTATCCTAAGGTGATTTGAGAAATAAGAACTTTTTGCTTTAATTGTGGGATTAGGCTAAACATTGGACTTTATATTATTAGTTAACCATGGTTACAATGCTCTGTTAAGGATTCCCACAATGTTAATTATGAGTGACAAGTTGTTGCCATCAACAGATACAGAGAGAATGGCACACCTATACGCATCCAGGTTCTGAACAATGAATTGTAAACACAGCCTGAAGAGCACTGTCAGACAGTCAGCCTATCACTCTCCTCTCCAACCATATTCTGATTGTTTTCAGTAAGGAAAATAGCAACTGTTGCCAATGAGAAGGCTTATAGGCCTTCAGAAGGTGGGTTCACATTAAAAACACTATTAAAAATAATCTAACATTTATTAGAGGAGATTTTTTTTCTTTTTAAAATTCTAACTTCACTTAAGGAACTGAAACTTTTAAGATGTAACTGAAGATGGCTTTGTCCTCTCCTTCTCTTAGAGCACCCCAAAACCATAATGTAATAAGAAACAAATATGCAAACTCAATTGTCAATAATATCAGGGAACACCCGTAATTCTGAACTACAATATATTAGAAAGGTAGCTAAATGCAGTAAAGGAAAAACTGGAAATCATTGGTTACAAACCTCAAATTCCAGCCCACTATTATCTGAGAACTAAAAACCAACCCTTCCTTGTTTGAAGCAATGGGAAAGAGGGTATTAGAGCTGGTGACAGGAACCTCATTTGTCACCATGCAGTATCAGGGGAGGTGAGAATGAATGAGGAAACATACAGACCTGCCATCTTTGCAGGAAGCAGTGTGTAGTTGGTATAGGGTAAGGCAGTCTCTGAAATGTGGCAGTACTGCAGGTGCAGATATCTTTTAGTGAGGGAGAAGTAAAGGCTAAGGAAGGAAAGACTAAAATAGCTCACAAATCCTGTATCATTAGAAAAATCCCTGCTAACCTTCAACAGTGCCCTGGCTGCCCCTCACAACAAACTTCCACCAAATAGCTGGTCCAGGAAGAACTAGTTTCATTCGGATATAAGTAATAATCAACTGGAACCAGCAGGGGTCCTATACCAAGATGTTATAATAAAAAAAAAAAAAAGTTGTTCTCTGAGAGAAAGGTTCAATTCCATATCATAAGATGTCAATATTCCCTAAACTAATCTGTAAAGTACACAATGTGTCAAAAGAAGTATCCATAAAAATTTAAGAAACTAGTAAACCAATAAAGTCCAAATAGGAACATAAAGAAAAATAGTGAGGAGAATTATGAAAAACAAAAAGTAGTAAAAGGAAAAGGTACTCTCAGATAATAAAAACATAAAAATCACTATTATTAATAAATTTAGTATATGAATAGATATATAGATAAAATGAACAGAACAGAGTCCAAAAACAGGACTAAATACATAAAAGAATTTAGTATAATATAAAGCTGATAAATATCACTGGGAAGACTAACTTATTCAATCAATGCATTTTGTACAACTGAGAGACACTGGAAAATATAGAGTTAGCTCTTCATTTAATCATTAGAATAAAATGAGGTCCCGATGAACCAAAGTTATAAATATACTAAAAAGAAAATAAAAACATGAAATTGGAGAAATAAACATGGAAGAATTTTATTATAATTCTGGAGTAGCTTTTTCAGTATGACTCTAAATCCAGAGGCCATAAAATATTCCTAATTTGGCCAGAAAAATTTTAAATCATTTTAATAATTCCAAGATTGACGTACTCTTTATGGAAAGTAACAGATAATGGATATTAAAATTAAAAATACATACTGATTGATATAACAATCCTATTTTCAACTATGCTTACACATGTGCTAAATAACTTATAGTTAAATAGTAAATATAGTAACTATTGTCTGTGGTACCATGACATAATCAGTCTAAATGTCTATTAATAGCATGTTAAGCTTATCATGGTACCACTACTCAATGGGAAATTAAACAATCATGAAAAAGAATGAGGCAGAAATATATGGCCTGAATACTCTCCAAGATAGGACTTTAAGTAAAAAAAGCAAAATAAAAAAGGGTGTAATATCTATCATTTGTTTATAAAAATTATGTATACACACACACACACACACACACACACATATATATGTATATGTAGTTTATGGATGTGACTTTATGAATGGACTATCTCTTGTAATTATGCAAAATAAAACAGTAACACAGTAATGCCTGAGAGTAACACTGTGTGGCGAAGAAAACAGTAACACAGTAATGCCTGAGAGTTAACACTGTGTGGTGACAGGTCTAAGGAAGGATATAATATGTGTTATTTTTTATATTTAATATGTGTATGTTTTATATAGGAGCTCTGGTAGCATAGTGGCTAAAGCACTTGACTGCTAACCAGAAGGCTGGCGGTTCAAACCCACCAGTCACTCCTCGGAAGGAAGGTTGGGCAATCCTACTTCCGTAGTGATACTGCCTTGGAAACCCAAGGAGGGGTCGCTATGAGTCGGGGCCGACTCGACGGCACATAAAAACAACAACAACAATGTTTTATATAGTGTTTGTGTATCAGTGATTTTTAAAAACTAATTATTATTTTGTAAATTCAACAACATGTTACTATGTAACAACTGATTTTATTTGGATTTCTACTGGATTTCATTTGGATTTCTTCATAATGTTAAAAAATATAAAAGATATAATTAAAATGATATTCAGATGTCTAAGTCATGTTGAACACCCATATACAAGTATTTAAAATAGCATGCACAGAACTTACAATTTTGCATCTTCTCTGTAATCATCTAATCCCTCATCATATGATTTTGATCTTTCTGTTTTTGAGCTGGGCTGGCCATCCAGGCTGGGAGGTCCAACAGATTCTGCAATTAAAACTCAGTATTTAGACATTTACAAGTGGTCTCCAGACTCTTTTAAAAATGAAAAGATTATAGTAAGTCACTCTACTCTAAATGGAATACTGAGAATGAAATACAGTCTCCACTATCATTCATTTAAACATACCATGATCATGTGAGAGTTGACGTCGAATTAAAGGAGCTGAAGTTGTGAGGCTGGGAGGAACTGTTGCTATAGAAGGTACTTGAGAGGTAGAGGCTGAGATGACAGCAGAAGCAGGGATATGTGCAATATCATGATCAATGCTAGGACTAGTTGGTTCATCTATACGATGAAATTAAAAATAAATATTGGAATATTAAATGACAATAATAAAATAATCAATAATCATTATTAAAGGAACCAGGTAAAGTACCACTATAGTACCAATAAATGACATATTTGGTCTGTTAAAAATCTACATATACAGTTATTATTCTATTAATGCTAATAATTCTGAGAATATGATATAAGGAATTAAACGAGTTGCTTCTTTTACCAACCAATTGATTTCTTCACTAACTGATAAAGTACCAAAATGTATATAGGTTCAGAACCAAACCTATAAAACCAGAACAATAATCATATACCACCCTGAAAGTATTACTTTTCAAAATTTAAAAGGATTTACAGATCATCATTTCAGAAAGCTAAGCAAGGTGACTGAGGGGCTCTAGCAGTGCAGTAGCTAAAGTATTCTATTAACCAAAAGGTTGGTGGTTCAAACCCACCAGCTGCTCCGCAGGAGAAAGATGCAGTAGTCTGCTTCTGTAAAGATTTACAGCCTTGGAAATCCTATGAGGCAGTTCTACTCCTCCCAACAGGGTTGGTATGACACAGAATGGACTAGATGGCAAAGGGCTTTTTAATTTTTTTTTTTTTTAAAGCAAGGTGATTTGGCGGAAGTTTATTTTTCAGAGTACCAATTCCTAAAACCTTAATCCTACTTGTCTCCCCACCACACAAAGATATCTTCAATTTTGATAGAAAAAAGAAGAAAGTACAGTCTATAAATTGTTTAGAAGAAGTTATATATTATCAGAGTCACTGTTAGTCTATCTGGCATTTTGTGCAAATCAGAAACAAGTATTCAGTTTCCCAGCATAGGCCTTCACCAGGAGCAATCTCCGCTTGCCCCTTTAAGCAGATGTCCTTCCCTTAGAGAGAAGGTAAATATTTTAGGTCTATGAACTCTAAGCTTCTCAAAAGCTGTTATTATCTGCCAAAGGCAGGGATACATATGCGAATGCGCATGCATGTGTAATAACATTAGCTAACATGTCAATAATACATTCTAGGTACTAATACCACTCTAAATATTTTACGTATTATTTCATATGAAATCATATGAAGCAAGTACTATCTTATATATGAGGAAACCAAAACACAGACAAAGTAATTTTACAGTTATAAAGCCACAGGGGCAGAATTTCAACTCAGATCTGACACCAGAGGTCCTGCTTTATAATGACTGCATTTGTTTTTCAAATTGGAGAACAATAGCTTTGTTCAAAATTCTTACTCTTGCTAAAACATCAGTAGTTTACATTCTAATATCATAGGTGAAAGGGTGTAATTTATGTAGGAAGCTAGAACTATAAAAATAAAATCAAACTCACTGCAATCAAGTCAATTCAGACTCATAGTGACCCACTTCGGGTTTCTGAGGCAATAAGTCTTTACAGAAGTAGATTGCCCAGTCTTCCTTCCATGGTGGCCAGTAGGTTTGAACTGTCAACCTTCTGGTTAGCAGGCCAGAACTATAATCCTTAAAATTATAAACTCAGAAGCCATAACGTAGCCCTCTAGAGAAAATACTATAATGATGAAACGGGGTTTTGATTCTTTGATTTAAAAGTTCAAACTATGTAATTGAGACTAAATTCTAAGACTGTTCCATCAATTGAATGATCAACATTTTCATCAAGAAACCTAATCATCTTATAAAATTAAACAATTTGATTTTGGCTAAAATCAGTAAATCCTATCTTATGTTTATTTCTTGTATTTTTAATTTTTTTTAAAACAGCTCTTTACATTTCAGCATCAGGAAACACTCTGTAAGTTTCTGTTTCTCCCAATGAATTTTACTAAGTATATAATAAATTTGATACTGTATGTCAGTGAGAATGCAATAATCCTTTTTGCAAAAGCAAGAAGACAACAGAGGCTTTTAAATTAATTCAAAAAGGATAAAAATTTAATTTTACTAAATATTGTGCTGTTCTCTAAAATTATCATTAAATTGCAACATACTTAACAAATGTTCTTTGAATAATAAATATATATATATAAAGTAAGTAAGTTTTACAGAGTCTGGTGATCCAAAATTCTATTATGGATTCATGAATACTGATACAAATGAGGAAATACTGTATTCTCTACAAATTACCTGGCATCATTAGTAGTATTGATAGCTTAAAAAGATTTCTGTAGTGAAAACATTCACTGAAATGGTTTAGATGAGATCTATCACACAAATCCATGAAAAAAAACATGGTGGTTTAAAAAATAAGAAATAATGCTTCTTTAAGATGTTGTTGCTGTTAGGTGCCATCAAGTCATCTTCAACTCAGAGTGACCCTATGTACAGCAAAAAGAAACACTGTCCGGTCCTGTGCCAGCTCCACGATCCCTGCTATACCTTGAGCCCATTGTTGTAGCCACTGTGACAATCCATCTTGTTGAGTGTCTTCCCCTCTTTCATTGACCTTCCACTTTACCAAGCATGATATCCTTCTCCAAAGAATGGTCTCTTCTTACAACATGACCAAAGTAGATGAGATGAAGTCTGGCCATTCTTGCTTCCAAGGAGCATTCTGGCTGCACTTCCTCCAGGACATATTTGTTAGTTCTTTTAGCAGTCCATGGTACTTTCAGTATTCTTCGCCAGCACCACAACTCAAAAGCAATGACTCTTCTTTGGTCTTCCTTATTCATTGTCCAGCTCTCACATGCATATGAGGCGAATGAAACTACCATGGCTTGTGTCAGGTGCACATCAGTCCTCAAGAAGACATCTTTGCTCTTCAGCACTTTAAAGAGGTCTTTTGTAGCCAATTTGCCCAGTGCTATACATCATCTGATATCCTGACTGCTGCTTCCATTGGTGTTGATTGTAGAACCAATATGAAGTCTTTGACAACTTCAATCTCTTCTCCATTTATCATGATGCTGCTTATTGGTCCAGTTGTGAGGATTTTTGTTTTCTTTATATTGAGGTGTAATCCATACTGCAGACTATAGTCTCTAATCTTCATCAGTAAGTGTTTCAAGTCATCTTTACTTTCAGCAAGCAAAGTTGTGTCACCAGTGTATTGCAGATTGTTAAAGAGTCTTCCTCCAATCTTGATGGCACATTCTTCTTCATATAGTCCAGCTTCTTGGATTATTTGCTCAGCATACAGATTGAGTAAATACGGTGAAAAGATACAACCTGACACACTCCCTTCTTGATTTTAAACCATGTGGTATCCCACTATTCTGTTCGAACGACAGGCTCCTGGTCTATGTACAGGTTCCTCATGAGTACAACTAAGTGTTCTGAAATTCCCATTCCTTTCAATGTTATTCACAATTTGTTATGATCCACATAATAAAATGCTTTTGCACAGTCAATAAAATACAAGTAAAATCTTTCTGGTATTCTTTGCTTTGAGCCAAGATCCATCTGACATCAGGAATGATATCCCTTGTTCCATGTCCTCTTCTGAATCCAGCTTATATTTCCAAAAGTCCTCTGTCAATATACTGCTACAACCGTTTTGAATTATCTTTCATAAGATTTTACTTGCATGCAATATTAATGGTATTGTTTGATTATTTCCACATTCTGTGGTATCACCTTTCTTTGGGATGGGTACAAATATGGATCTCTTCCAGTCAGTTCGCCAGGTAGCTGTCCTCCAAATCTCCTGGCATAGCTGACTGAGAGGCTCCAGCGTGGCATCCATTTGTTGGAACATCTCAATGGATATCCCATCAGTTCCTGGAGACTTATTTCTCACCACTTCCTTCAGTGCAGCTTCTACTTCTTCCTTTAATGCCATCAGTTCTTGATCATATGCCACCTCCTGAAATGGATGAACATTGACTAATTCTTTTTGGTACAGTGACTCTGTATTCCTTCCATTTTCTTTCGATGTTCCCTGCGTCATTCAATATATTGCCCAGAGAATCTTTCAATATTGCAAGTTGAGGCTTAATTTTTTTCTTCAGTTCTTTCATCTTGAGAAATGCTGAGCATATTCTTCCCCTTTGGTTTCTAACTCCAGGTCTTTGAACATCTCATTATAATAACTGCCTTTGTCTTCTTGAGCTGCTCTTTGAAATCTTCTGTGCAGCTCTTTTATTTTGTCATTTTTTTCCATTTGCTTTAGCTACTCTCTGTTCAAGGGGAAGTTTCAGAGTCTCTTCTGACATCCATTTTGGTCTCTTCTTCCTTTCCTGTCTTTCTAATGACCTTTTGCTTTCTTCATGGATGATGTTCTCGATGTTATTCCACAATTCCTCTGGTTTTTGGTCATTGGTGTTCAATGCATCAAATCTATTTTTTAGATTTTTGACAACTTCAATCTTTTCTCCATTTATCATGATGCTGCTTATTGGTCCAGTTGTGAGGATCTGTTTTCTTTATATTGAGGTGCAATCCATACTGCAGACTGCAGTCTTCAATCTTAGTCCATAATTGCTTCAAGTCATCCTCACTTTCAGCAAGCAAAGTTATGTCCTCAGTGTACTGCAAGTTGTTAATGATTCTTCCTCCAACCCTGATGCCACATCTTTTTCATATAGTTCAGCTTCTTGGATTTTTTGCTCAGCTTCTTGGATTATTTCTTTAAGATATTGTTTCTAAAAGCTAAACCTCTGGAGATATATGGTTACTCCATGTGTCATAGGGTGACTACGAGATGCCAAGGGACAAGTCTTTCAGAAGAGTCAATGTTATGCTTTGCTAAGTAATTTAAGATATTTTTATATTTATTTATTTATAAAATATCACGGAATAAAATTTTAAATGTGCATAGATTAAGCACTAAACAAATTTCAAAGGCAATTTTTTGAATAGCCCTAGATTTCCTGGAGTTTCCTGGGCAATGCAAGCGGTTAAGTACCTGACTATAAGCCAAAAGGTTGGTGGCTCAAATCCACCCCAGAGGCTCCTCACAACACAGGCCTGGTCATCAGCTTTTGAAAAGTCAGTCTTCAAAATCCTATATTTACTTAGCACAAATGGGGTGGCGCGTAAGTTGGAATGCAACAAGATTAACAACAACAGACTTCCT